TTATTTATGTTGACATCTTGTTGATTGCTCCGTGTCAGCTCGATGACAGATAGATTTTTATCTAATGTCCTTCTATGGGAGCTTTAATCTTAAAATATAATTGACGCCTTTTAAGTACGCGATAATCTTATAATTTAAGAAAATATTCTCCGTATATATTTTATTGAATTTTAGCACTAAATTTAATATAGTTGTTGCTCTTATTATCTGATAGTGTCGTGTATTTTTGACGGTATCAATGAAATTCGGCAGGTTTTTACACATGAAAAAACTATTAATACTTTTAAAGATATTCAGGGATGTCAGATTGTAATTAGCATTACTATATATGATTAGTAAATATAGTTTGACTTAATAACAATATTTTATAAGAGTTACACCATTGAAACTGAATTTAAAAAGATTTTAAAATATTGTAAATTATTCTAATAAAAATTAGATCCTTTTTCCTCGATGTACTACCGACAGCATCGTTGTCTTTTATGCTTAATTCAAATAAATATCGAATTTGTTAAGACAGAGAACTAGAAAAATCATTTGAGGATCTTAATTACTTTTTGTTTTATATAATCCAATATATAATTTGAAATGGACTAAGTACAACAACTATTTTAATATATTTTTTTTTTTTATATATATATATATATATATATATATATATATATATATATATATATATATATATATATATAGGTGTTTATTTTAATACAAAATTTAAAAAAAAAGATTAATCCCTGTTTTTTTTTTTTTTATTTAATTTATGCCATATAGAAAAATCTTAAAAGCTATCTTAAAACACTTAAATAATTCTAATATATTAAAAAAGAGAAATGAACTGATGGTCACATGTAGGCATAAAAATAAATATCTGTTGAAATACGTTGATCCAGATTAATTTCTACTGTAGATTATAACCTTCCGTTTTCCTTCTTCTATTTATTTATTCCGACAATTATTTTAATATATTTTATTGTTAGATATATTGTTTTATTGTTATTTATACAGACACAAATATTTAAGTACATGCTTTGTTCATAATAAACAGTATTAACAACATTTACTGGCTTGAATGTCCGATAAATCTCATAGAAGATATGTATCATTCAGGCTGGTAAATGTTTTAAATAGTATTTATTACAAATAGTGCATAGTGTATAAGCAGAAAGTATATTAAAATAATCCATATGTTGAATTTGTATATAATATTATTCTTCCAATATATCTACAGAACATGTGAATCAGGTACAACGGAATAGCGACTCCCAAAAGCTAAAGAGAGTATCAAAAAAGTGCTGAACTGTTATCTAATATCAATGCTCCTATAAGACAATAGAAGCAGGACAATTTCCTCACAGATGAAGAGAAAACCTGAGACAACAGAGATGCGGCTCTACAGAAAGATGCTGAGAATATCACGGACGGAACTCTTAGTGAAAATAGGAACAAAAAAGACATTAGTATTCAAAATCAGAAAGAGAAATAGTTGAAAATTTATACTTTATTTGACGGAATATAAGACACACTTTTTCTACTAAAAATATCTTTTAAAATTCCCCTGCGTGTTTTATGCCATATGTAGGTTTACTAATTTTACTATTTTTTTCTTGATTTGCCCTACTGAAATTGGGGCACATCTTATACACCCGTATGTCTTATATGCCGTCAAATACGGTAATTTATTGATTGATTGATTTTTTTATCGCTTTTCAACCCTTTTTAGGTTATTTAAAGTCAGGACATATTTTTAGTTTGTAAGAAATGTTTTGGAGACAATAATGATTTACGGATAAAAGTTCTACTAATTAACTCATAGCTGGGGAGAGAAGTGCTGGATTCATATGTTTCCCAAAGGTACTTTGCACGTAAATGAATATAACAGGGCCAGAAATCGTAACCCGGCTCTGCAATTTCCAATTCCAAGGCGTTATCATTTACTCCAGCTGCACATTCAAGCTTACAGCATATGTTATTCCCAAGCGGTCACCCATCTAGATAGTGACAAGCTGCGCCGTTGCTTAACTTCTGTTATCGTAGGGATACATAAAAAAAAGACTTGTCGAATTTAAAATTCCCAAGACATACTGAAGGCAAGTGGGTTTGAGTTAAACATCATGTAACATATATAATGAGCTTGTATAGATAGATAGCAGAGTAGGTATTGTGGGGAGGGGGCAGCAAGGAGAAAAACATTACTTAGATCTTTAAAGAAAGGAATTCGAGGAGAGCCATTATCACCCACATCTTGAAGGGACATAGAGCATGAGAAGACGAAGATGATAGGAAATGCAAAGCAAACTTTGATAATGACATCAGTTGACAGGTTATCACCATTTATACATCAGTCCACCATTCTCTATCAAACTTGACTGAGCTGATGATGCAATTCATTGAAGTGATACACGAAAGTTACCTGAAAAGTTCACAGGCTGACCAATATATGAATGTAAGTCGACACACCAGTTGGTAGATTAAAAAAACATTCAAGTGTACCAGAATACAACAGTGGTCGGTCACATTCGCATATTTCTTAATCTACCAACTAGTGTGTCAGCTTACATCTATATCTTGGTCAGCCTATGAACTTTCCAACCGACACCCGTATATTAGGCTGAATCGTAAGCAATTTTCGATTGTAAAGACAAATATCTTAGCATAATTATTAATCATATGCAGCAGTTAAGAATAAATTTAGATAACACATAGACTTTATCTTTTGCACGGAAGTGGCAGCATGTACAGTGGATTACTCCAAATATGTTGCTCTCCTTTAAGACAAAGCAAGAATACGTACAATTTTGGGGCATCAATATTTGCGTAATTTTACTATATATATATATATATATATATATATATATATATATATATGTATGTATGTATGTATGTATTTAAATAAAATAAAGAAAAGTAAGATATATAATCCGGTGTTCTTATAGATATTTTTATTTTTACAAAATAATGCTCAATGTAAATTTACAGAGCATTAATATTATAAATTAATTGATTTAAAATATGTTTTTTTCGCTACAAAGTTCTAACCATGTTTCAAAAATGGAAGCTAAAAGCCACGAATTTAATTTTGCAATTAAATTAAAGACATTAGTTCCATTTCATCCTCAAGCGAATTTTGAAGTAACTTTTAAAATTACTGGGTTTTAAAGACACAGCTAAAATCCCGTTTCCACGGTTACAGATAAATCTACTTCAATTGGACAATATATATATGTATGTATATATATATGACTAATGTTGTTTATGAATTTATTTGTCGAATCGGAGATTGTATCTCTATAAACAATATATATATATATATATATATATATATATATATATATATATATATATATATATATATATGTTAAAAACCTTTTTCCTGAAAACTCAAGAGCCATTCATCGTTCTCAATTTTTGAATATCTCTTTAGTTTATTCGATTCCGTTGGCAACATCTTGAATATCTGGTGCCACAGATTTTTTTTTTTTTCTTATTTTCCTTCTCAGGTGAAGTCCTCTCTACACGCAAGCAACCAATCAGCCACTGGGTTGCATGCCAGTAGCGTTTCTCGCTGGTGGACATCTGTCGAACAGCCGGCGTATTCTTCTTGGTAATGTTACCACTGCCGGACCGCTAGAGACCTACCGGTGGCCCGCAGGTGTCTTGCCGATGGCTGCCACCAGAGGACCGCTGGTGTTGCCTTCGGCGACCCGCCATCCGGCCACTAGTAGCTTGCATGTAGGACTAGATATATTTTTTTTTAACAGCTCCAAGCTACCGGAGCAGTTTCGTGTATGACGTGACAGATTTTATTTTCCGTTTTTTTTTTTTTTTTTTTTTTATATATATATATATATATATATATCAACCAAATATGGTCTTTTTCTCTTAGTGGTCAATCCGGATTGCAAAGTCTCAGTCTAGCATTGTCTTTATCCTGTCATGTCTGCTTTTATATTATCTTTGGTAAGCTTGTTACATTCATTTATGATGTGGTTTCTCCACAAAGAATGAGTTTATGCTTTTATGCATTTCCTCTATATATTCTTTTATGCCTTTTCTCTATTTTTACATTGACATAATTGGTTCTGACACTTTCGTTCAGCGCTACAATAAGAAAACGGTTCGTTTCTCGACTGCAGACATAAGAGAGCTCGGCATTGTTTACTTTTTTTCCCACCAAAGTCGTCGCGGCTTTCACTGGCGGTCAAGTGACAAGTCTACTCAGTAGACCAACACTTTCAGCAGAGAGGTTTCAAACTGAATCCAATCTTGAACTCGTCATAATGACCTGTAATCTTCTAACTCTTCCAACCTTTTTACAAGACCCTTCGCGATTATTCCAGGTGGCCCAATAACGGCGGGTAGTACTGTCACATTCATATTGAGTTACTTTTCTTCCAAGTTCTTATATTTTTATTTACACTATTCACTTTCGGACTATTGTCCTCATTTTGTTGCCGTTATTACAACGTTTCGGCCGTTGTGTCGTCCGACCTTCATCAGATGTATATCGATCTGAGTAATCTACAGATTATCCATCAGCAGGTTAGGCTTAAGGTTCTAATTTTCCACAGAATTGTAATACAGGACAATAGCCTAGCGGATTAAAGCGCTGGTTCGTGAATTTTGTGAGTTCAATCCTTGGTCCAGGCAGCGTGTATACTTGGACTCAGTAGAAACGGGGCGAGCAATAACTGAACAGTACTAAAAATAAGAAATAGACGAGATATCCCGAGACATGGGCAGTGGAATGAGAACAGTCTAGACACGTAGATTAAATAAGGTGTACAATTCGGGAGTAATTGTAGGTTAACCCTATCGATATACGGAGACCGCAACGCCCGAAACGTTGTGATAACAACAACAAAGATGAGGACAACTGTCCGAATGTAAATAGTGTATATGGGGATAAATTCTCATCTCAGAAATTCAGACGGAAGTCAAGATATTTTTCTAGGATTTCATTTTCTTTCAGTTTCACAATAGGATCTAGAAAAACAGTATTGATGATGTGGCATATTTTCTTTTCTTTCTACATGGGGATTAAATCCTATTTTCTGGTTGGGATTCGGTGATTCACTTAAATCCTCCTCTTGGACAATTTCTGGTTTGTGTCCTTGCATTAATATTAAGCGAGAAAGCAGCCCGCCAACAAATGCACGTTGAAACTAGAAATACGACGCCCAATATACTCATCATGAAACACAAACTATTATGGTTATATTGGGCACATGCAGCACAGCCAAGTGGGTTCAATATAGTGACAGGTTTCGATTAAAAAAAAGAGAGCATAACCTTAGTAATACATCTAGAACTTTTAATCCAAACAGTCGCAATTGAAGATGTTCACAAGTATCTGGGCATAACTAAAACATTGTTTATCTTCATGCAGAAAAATATCAATTTTTTATCTTGTAATTCGAATGTCACCTAAATTTACCTTTTGACGCAATGTTTCCCTTTTGATGAAAGTCTTAACAAGACCAATGTTTGCCTTTTGACTCAAGTATAAACTAGTCCAATGTGTACATTTTGGCTTAAATATAGACTAGTCCAATTCTTACCTTTTGGCTCAACTATTATCTAGTTCAATGTTGCTCTTTTGACTCAAGTGTTAACTAAACCAATGTTTACCAATTCAATCAAGATTTCAATCTTAAATAAACTGATACAGGTTGATATTTTTAATCTCACCTAAACAAAATTGTCGATTCTATCGATTGAGTCATATAAATTTTTAAAAACTGACCGAGTTTACGTTGATGTGCAACGCATTTTCGTTTCTTCTGACTTTTTCTCAGCGTTTTATAAGCGACGCCATACATTGATTGGTTGCTTAAGCAATAAAGAGCTAAGTGCAATAATCAAGAATAACATTGTGCATATAAATGGCGCTACTTCGACCTAAAATATCTGTTGAATATCAACATTTACTTTTCTTCAGATTGCTCATTTGCTTTGCTTCTTTCTTCTCTTTTTTTCCCTGACTGTGATATTGGTCAATCCGCCTACTTTTGAACACTTCGCTTCTTTTGAACCGGCCTCCATTTTGCTTCTCAGAAATATCTCGTTCTTCAAACAAGTATACACGTTTAGTTGTGGAATTTCAAATTCAAACACTACTTGTAATTGATCATGAAGCAAAAAATAAAATAGACAGACATTTCAATGGCTGAGAATCTTCTCACGGGAAGAAAAGGTGACGTAGACAATAAGAAACGAATCGAGAGCTGATAACCATGAGCAAGCTACATCTGAAGTGAAACAATGAAAAGGAAAGGCACGAAAAAGCCGATCTATTTTGAAAATAACGCCAGGGATGCTTTCATATTATAAGTAGAAAGTTATTTATAGTAAAGGGTTATCAGGTATTTTAAAATACTCGAAAGGTAAGTTGAGACACCGTTCTATAAAACACAATGCGATATAAATCATATTCTTCTTTTAATGTTTTTCAATAAATGACTTTTATAAATATCTTCTTTATACCACAACGTTACAGTCGATTCCTTGTCTATTGACAGACGAAAGTTGACCCGCTTAAGATCTTGCTGTAGATTTCTTTTGAAAGATTGTTTGTTCTCTCTGAATAACCAGTGGGACGATGAGTTATTATTATTTACACTATTTACATTCGGACTATTGTCCTCATCTTTATTGTTGTTGTCACAACGTTTCGGCCATTGTACCCTTAGAAATATATTAGAATTGCTCAGTTATTGCACGTCTCGTTTCCACTGAGTCAAAGTACACGCTGTCCAGCGCAGAGATTGAACTCACAATTACTAAGTCATCAAATTCAAGAAGCAATGCTTTAATGTACTAGACTATTGTCTTGTAGGTCCTAATAATAAGATATGGACGAGATATTGTCCCTCGGGTTCTAAACATAATAACTGAACGATATACTGTCTCGCGGGTCCTAAACATAATATCTAGACGAGATATTGTCCTGCAGGTCCTAAACATAATAACTAAACTATATATTGTCCTGCATGTCCTAATAATAAGTTTTTCCTTTCCGCCTCTACGTCTTTTCTTTATCTACAAGGAAACTGTTCAACATTTACCACTATATATATATATATATATATATATATATATATATATATATATATATATATATATGTGTGTGTGTGTGTGTGTGTGTGTGTGTTTATATATATATATATATATATATATATATATATATATATATATATATATATATAATGGACTCTCCTGTCGGTTTCGACGTATGAGGATCTGACAGCTCATTGATTCAGTTATGAAAGTTTGTGCGATAATCTTAAGTGGCATTTAAGACCCGCTAGTGATTTAAAAAGGAGGCCATATATGAAGCAAGTGTGGGGATTGTGAGATGAGATCACTGTTAGATTGGCTGACCTTTTAGATCTTGCTCTCGCTTCTTGAAGATGATTCAGACAAGCAGATTAAAAATTGCCGAGTCCACTAAAACACGTTGATCTCCATTCTACCCGCTCCAAGGCTAAGCGCTCAAGGGTGTTATGTGGTATATTGACTGCTGACAAGTTACTTTTCAGCTTGTCTTTGTATTCCTTACCACTCACACACAAGCATATATATATATATATATAATACTAAATTTCACTTGATACAAGGTCTGAGAGCCAGTCAAGGTAGAGGGTTACTGCTAAAATATTTACGAAGAATCAAATGTGTGATATGAATAAAATAGAAAGGGACGATTATGACAATACATAACGTCTGACATGTGACTTGAAGAGGTTTAGATTGCATTGTTCAGACAAGTACTCCCGCTGGAGTTTGTTCTACAAAGTAGCATTTCTTGGGAAAAAAGCACTCATGTGGAACGTTCTCCTTATAATTATAATAGGGGAGAAATGAGTGTGTTTTGACTCTGTGGAAAATGACATTACGTGTTTTAATTTCTTGGATCTGAACTGGTAGAAATCACGGATAGAGTTTATCTGAACAGTCGTTTTGGAAAAATGATAAGTTAGACATGGACTTGCGATTTTGCGTCTAAGGGAAAGAGATTGCAGAGTGTGAAATTTTCCAAAGCTGAATAGCTGAATTGTTGACACGAAATAATATTAGGTTGTCACACATGAAATTACGCATTTTTCTGGGTTGGTTGTTGATCCAGTCGTCTAACGAAATAATCTCTTTAGTATATAAAAAAATCTTGATTTATTCCTGCCTTTTTTCTTTTCAGATAATCTTTCTATCAATATATTGTTACTCATAAGCCAAATGAAAATGATTAAAATGAAACAATGTCGAGTCATCTTACTACATGAGTACAAACTGGTAAAAAGAAACATTTTTGCAACCAAGCATTACATTCAATGAGAAATGAATACTTTTTGTCAACAGAAAAAGGCCAGTGGTTAGAAGCAAGTGAAGTACCAAAACAATACCCCAAACCTCCACTGCACCCTAAAATGTTACTGGTTACTGTATGGTGATCTTTCAAAGGGGTTATTCATTATTCATTCTTGTCTGATGGGATAATAATGACATCAACCTCTTCTTGTGGAGAAATTTAGTATATGCATGAGAAATTGAAAAGGAAACATGTAGAATTGTAAATAGAGATGGCCCAATTTTGCTGCACGACAACTCACGGCCGAACGCTTCTCAATTAAGTGTTCAACAGCTGCAAACCTGAATTATGAAATTTTGTCTCCTCCTACCTATTTTGATATATATATATATATATATATATATATATATATATATATATATATATATATATATATATATAAATATATATATATATATATATATATATATATATATATATATATATATATATATATATATATAAGGTAATATAAATATATATATATATATATATATATATATATGAAGAAAAATTTGGAAAAAAACAAACCAAAAATCCTTAAATGCAATTATGTTGTTTAAAATGAATGAAATGTCGACGTCTGACGTTTCGGTTTAATAAACCTTCTTCAAGACAATATTCATTAAAATACAATTCAGTTCAATTTGACAAAGACGATGGACATAAAAAACAAGTCTTATCCAAATGGAACTGAATTGTATATTAATGAATATTGTCTTGAAGAAGGTTTATTAAACCGAAACGTCAGACGTCGACATTTCATTCATTTTAAACAACATAATTGCATTTAAGGATTTTTGGTTTGTTTTTTCCAAATTTTTCTTCATTCTGTCGGATCTATATCCATTTACATTTGCTTACATATATATATATGACTGATTATCAATTATTTAAAAATTTTACGCTTTTCATACGCAATAAAACATTCTCCAATAAGGAAGAGGTAATTATTTATTTAACAATTCATAAGCGTTTTATACATTTCCTCATTTCATGTGTAGCAGTCAAATTCTAATCTTGTCCCAATCTGTACCTGGAATATGGCGAAATGCATTACTACCTTTAATGGCCGTTGACCAAACTGTTTTTATCGACGTAGGTTTATGAATCAATTTGATTCATTTTCAAGCTCAATAAAAAAAAAAGGAGTGCCAATGGAATTTAGATTTCATTTTGTAGTTCCTTACACGAGAACACACACACATATTCATTGTATTTCTATACGCAATACACCTTGAACAAACACACACGTATTCACAATGGTATTCGAATAATCTGAAGTATACAAAGATCATAAAACCTGTACCTCTGTTTTTGTCTGACTGCCTGACTGACTTTAAACAATATTTTATTCACTTTTGTTTTTTATGAAGGCTATTTTCATATCTGCTAGCCATGTGAGCCATTTCTAGATAGTTCGTACTTTGCATGATAAAAATTCAGGATATTAAATTAATAAATACAAAAAGAAATTCCCACGAACCACTGCCCTATGGAACGGACACCGAAAAGGATATTTCCCTGATCACTACAATCTTAACCTGTTCAAGTCTAGACTCAAACGTTATCTTCCCCTTCTATCCATATAAACTACCCCTTAACGTAACACTCTACCACGAGTGGCTCCCGGGCATTGTACAAGGTGAACCTTACCCTGCTTTCTGAATCGGTTATAACAAATTTAGTATAGGTTGTAATGAAATTGAACACACAAGAAGCTGCGCTAGGGATAATTTCGACCAATATCGCAAGTTGCTACAAAAACTTAATATGTAAAGTCTTGTTCTTAAATAGCGTCCTTAGATCGAGAGTTTTATGTGAATTCTGCGCATGGTTCTAAGACACGTTTAGAAATATTTAAAATGTCACCCGTATACAACTGCTTTCTATGATCAATGAAATTTGTTAGAAAACCTAAAATCTCGTGTCATTTCCTTAAATAGTCTCATCAGGCCGAGACTTTCATTAAAATGTTATTCATTGAATGGATACAAAACGAAAACCCGAGTCATCTTCTTAAATTACGTCGTTAACTGACGACTTTAATATGAATGTCATGGCTGGCACCATACTCGTTCAGAAATATCTAAAATGTCAGATGTATAGAACCGCTTTCTCAGATCGATGATAAAAAATTGCTTCAAGCAAATAAAGCATGTAGGTTTTAGCGAGGGTCATCCTTCTTCGAACCTCGTTGGCTGACTATACAGAATCACAAAGAACTGGTTTGGTTTGGTTCGGCATATCAACTTATTATGGGTCATTTAATGTCAAAATTAAATTTTGGGAGAAGCTTTGGTAATTTTTTTCTCAAATTTATTCCTGGTAATTTTTCTCTTACTTTTCCAATAATGTATTGGTGGTATTTTTTTTTTTTTTTACTATGAAAATAAACTGCTGTTATTCTTACTACAAAAGTATACTTTCATACTATATACGTTTTGGCCCCAGTTTAAGGGTTTACTATTTGCCCATAGCTGGGGCCCTAACAGGTACTACCACCCCGAGTCAGAGTGGACCTTGGAATAACAGCAATTAAGGGTCGGTTCTACGCTCCTTAAAACCACCAGATCATAGGCCTTTCTGCCAGATGTAGTTTATCGTCATTCCCAGGACGAAACAAAGAACCGTACCAGATAACAGAAAGTACAGCGTTTAAGGGATTTCAAAAGCGGCAACAATTAAAATGGATGCCACACGTAAATCGAAGAGAAAATATTGGTATAATTAAGATGTTGACTTTCCACACTACTTGAACAAAAAATTAATGTATTCGTCATATATTTATATATATCTATATCTATAAATCTATCTATCTATCTATCTATCTATCTATCTATATATATATATATATATATATATATATATATATATATGTATATAAATAAAAAAGAAAGAACAGTAAGATATAAAATCCAGTGTTCGCTTGAAGATGAAATGGAACTAATGCTTTTAATTTAATTTAAAAAATTAAATTCGGGGTTTTTAGCTTCTATTTTTGAAACATGGTTGGAACTGTGTAGCGAAAAAACCATATTTTAAATCAATTAATTTTAATATATATATATATATATATATATATATATATTATATATATATATATATATATATATATATATATATATATATATATATATATATATATATATATATATATATATATATATATCCTGTTCCCCAATAAATAGAGCATATTTTAAACAATGCAATAGGTAGACAGTGAGAATGAAATATATATTTCACAAGCAATTATATTTTCGTATAAATTCAAACCTTAATCCGTCCTGCTTTTCTTTTCTTCTTCTGGGTACCGTTTCCCTTCAGGACGTGGGAGGCGATCATGGCTCTCCACAATTTACTAACCTTTGTTAGCTTTTTATTAAGATTTGTTTTTTCACAATTCCACCCGTAACATAGATCTGCCATCCCTTTCTGTTCCACTTGACCTTAATATGTGTTAGATTCACTAAGCCTCTTTTCTCTATTGTGTCTCCTTGAAATCTTAGTTTTCTTTCTCTGATTCTAAGTATAAGCATTCTTTCTGTCTTCTTTAAAACTGCCTCATTATTTACATATTCAGTTCATGTTATTCTCAGTATTTTTTCTGTGGAATCACCTTTCAGTTGCCTGAAGTCTTTAATTCATCAGTGTCCAGTATTCATTACCATAGATGAATACTGATTTTACATAACAGATCAGCATTCTTTTGTTTCTAATGAAGCTTTCTTGTTTCTTAATACTTTGTTTAGCTTTTGTAAGGCAAATTCCGCCACGCCAACGCATCTTCTGATTTCGATGTGACATCTTTCCGTCATCTGTTAATTTCCCAGATTTAGTCTCCGATTCATAACACGTATTTTGGGCTGTTTCCCTTGTTGATAATCATACAGTATTCTTACAATTGATGTTTAATATTTCTTCTCACTTTCTTTTACTCCTTTCTCTAAGAGTTCCTTCAGTTTTCTTTATCCGTTTTCCTATCAACACTGTGTCGCCTGAATATCTTATATTGTTAAGATTGTGCTCGCTAATAATAAATTATGATACAACTTTTACGTCTCCCAGAATCACCACGCTGTAAAAGTCGAATAAGTCTGGCGAGAAGATTTATCATTGTCTCTATTCTTTACATGTGCCTAAAGTTGCTTCTTCATTTACTTCTCTTTCATTTTGGTTTTATTTTGAATTTTACTAATTTCGGTCTTTTCCTTTCTTTCTTTTTTTTCTCTTTCAGTCTTTCTTTCTTTCTTTCTTTCTTTGTTTTTCTACTTTTTCCTTGCATCTTTCTTTCCCATCTATTTCTTTTTATAACAATCTGTTTTGTTTTTTTTTATTCTCTGCTTTCCATTTTTCTTTTACTCTTCTTCTACGTCTTTTACTGTTTAACATTTCTATCGTCACTGACCAATTCTTTCTCTTCCATAGTTTTAACCAGGAAGGCGATGTTTTTATTCCAACACGATAATGTCCACTCCCATGACGACCGAACTACTCAATATGCTCTATCATATGTCTGCAACTTCTTTGGCCGGCACGATCGCAAGTCTTGTCTGCTATTGAACATGCATGGAAGATAATGGGGATAACAGTTGACTGGTTCGGTTAGCGCACCTCTAATTCTTGCTCTATTGCGTCAACAGGTGCAAGAAGCGTGGAAGAATGATCGCAAGGTGGTATTCGCCACCTGTACGATCTTCTTCATGCGAAAGTACAAGCCTCTATCAATATGGTATTCTTTTAATCTTTTTCACTTCTATTAAGTTCAGGCTCTTTATATTCATAATCTTCTCTCTTCCGTATTTTTCCATTTTCTCTTTTTTATTTCTACATTTTATTCGAGCTTTCATTATATATTCTTTCTGTCATAATCATTTCTTTTTAACTCTTCTTATATTTTTACGCTTTTTCTATTTCCCTTTTTCTTTTGTACGTTTTCTATTTCCCTTTCTTTTTTTTAATCTTTTTCCTTTTTACTCCTTTTCTATTTCCTTTTCTTTTTTTGTTCTTTTTCTATTTCCTTTTTTCTGCTTTTCCAGTTGCCTTTCTTTTTTTTTTACTCTTTTTCCCGTTTCTTTTTTCTCTTTTTCTATTTCACTTTCTTTTTTACTCTTTTTCTATATCCCTTTCTTCTATTTTCTATTTCCGTTTCTTTTTTTACTATTTTCCATTTTCATTTTTCTTCTTTTCTATTTTCGTTTCTTTTTTACTCTTTTTCAATTTCCATTTTTTCTTCTTTTCTATTTCCCTTTCTTTTTTAATCTTTTTCTTTTTCCTTTTTTCTTTTTTTATTCCAATTTCTTTTTTACTTTTTTCAATTTCCTTTTTTCTTTTTTTATTCCAATTTCTTTTTTAATCTTTTTCTATTTCATTTTTTCTCCTTTTCTATGTCCTTTTTTTTACTTTTTTCTATTTCCTTTATTTTCTCATTTTCTTTTTCCCTTTCTTGTTTACTCTTTTTGCATTTTCTTTTTTCTCCTTTTATATTTTCCTTTCTTTTTTACTCTTTTTCTATTTCTCTTTCTCTTTCGAGCGTTTTCTATTTTCCTTTCTTTATTATCTATTTCCTTCTCTTTTTTTTACACTTTTTCTATTCACTTTTTTTACTCTTTTTCTATTTCCATTTCTTTTTTCTCTCTTTTTTTTATTTCCCTCTCTTTTTTACTCATTTTGTATTTTTCTTTTTTAATTAATTTAATTTTCTTTTCTATTTTTAACCTTTCCTCCATTTTATTTATTTTTTCCTATATCTTTTCTACTCGTTTTTTAATCGTTTTCCTTCCTTTTTCACTTTTTTTTTTAATATTTATCTTTCGTTTTTTGTCCTTCCTACTTTCGTTACTTTTCTTTCTCTTTTTTTTTCTTTTCCATTTTTTTTTTCTTTTTCTACTTTCTTTTTCTACTCTTTTCTTAGGCCCTCTTTCTTTTTCAGTTGTTTTTTGTCTTTCGTTGGTCTTTTTTAAGCTTTTGTTTCCTTTCTCTACTCAAATATCTTTTTTCTTCGTCATTCTTTTTCTTCGAAACTTTTCCATTACGCCATTGTTCTTTCTTCCTGCTAATTTTATTTCCTTTTTTCTTCTCATTCATTTTCTTAACTAAAAATAAATAAAAATAAATAAATAAAACGAAAAAGAAAAGAAAATATCTTTTCTTTTTTTTTTCTAATTTCTACAAAACTCACTCGGTGCTATTACTATTGGGAAAACCATTGTTAACATGATGTACCGATTGTATTCAGTTCTCTTTGATTTTTGATTGCAAAGGATTGGTACTCAGTGGGATTTTTTTTATCTGCACTCACACTGTTTCCTTAAATCTCTTCACTTTTCATCATTTTTTTTTATTTTTTTTTTTACAAAAGACTAACCTCGGACTAAATATATACTTAACAATACATTGAGATTCTTTTCTTTTCGTTTTTTACTGGAAAAAGAATCCCCAACGTAAGGCGGCCATGTTGTACTGACTGCTTTTTTATTCTTTCCAAACTCATATGCATAATCATTAAAGCTATTTCAAGCGAGGAAGTAATTTTCATGCTGAGTATAAAAGAAAGATACCTAATAGCCATTTTAAACGATAAGATATACCATTACAGTCAGGATTTTAATATTTTCTAAGGCTTCTATTTGCAATATCCGAATACTGCTGGCGTCATTTTGCTTGGCGATAAAATTCAAATATGTTTTTAATAACAAGCTGCAATTTAATTTATGCGGTCATTGCAAAAATGCATAGTTTCTTGTAGTTAGTCCCGTATGAAAAACAAAATGGAAAAAAATCACTTGGTATAAACCTTTCGCTTTAAATATTAATAAAAAAAAAATGTTTCCATATATATCATCGAATTATGAAAGCGTCGACTTCAATGTTCTTTCTCTTCTTACTTTCGTCTTTTTTCCCTTCGTTTTGTCATCTTTCCACAATCACTGGGATTTATTTCCCAGAAATATAATAAAAGATAGGATTGAATTAGATTTCAAAAACCCATTGCTCCTAAACACATTCTAAACGATATTAAAAACAAAAAAATATTGCACAGTTTTGTCCACGGGAAATTTGTTTATCTACGAAGTTTAATGTCAAAAAAAAGCAAAAGCGTGGAGGTGAAGGTATTTATTTATTTTAAATATTTAATGGTCTTGCATTAACAGTTCGTGTAATTAAAAAAAAAAGCTATGGTCATGTATGTTGGCTTTTTGACCTTAAAAGTTTTAGACACGAAAATGCTTCATTCAAGTTACGGGATGTGAGTTCAAATATAATCGGTGGTTACTGTTTACTTGAATGATCATGAATTGTATCGATCTGGAGCAAGAAATATGAAGGAAGACTAGTTAAGGACTTAGATAAATTAAGAAATATGTGTTCTGCGCAAAATTATGTAAACATGTCTATGGCAATGTCAGGTACACGTACTTGTTCAACATCTGTCTATATTTCTGAAATGAGGGATAGTAACTATTTACACTATTCACATTGTTCGGAGTGTTGTCCTCATCCTTGTTGTCATATTCACGACGTTTCAACCATTTTATGCCCCGGCCTTCTTCAGGTGCCATACGTTGAAATTTCGAACCGAAACCATTATTTCGTCCACCGAGGTAGATTGTTCTAGTTCCACATGCCATGCCTTTTTTGGATATCTCAGTTTCAGTTATTAGTTACTCAACAGTCTAAGTTTTTTTTCACCTCTGCTCTAGATATTAAACTCATATGAACCAGGGGATATAAGCGTTAATTGAAGCAATCCAATAACTTGACCTGAATGATCTCCATACAATGAAAAGCATATGTACAATAAACTCGTATTAGTATTTTATTCTCCCACAAAAAAAAAAAAAAAAAAATATTTAAATATTTTGGGGAGGGAAGGAGGGTGAGGGGTGATATTTTCCGAAAATTTCTTACACCAGCCAGAAAAAGACGCCCGTTCTTTGAATACACGCGTTTTTATTAATGAGTGACGTGACATAATGTCGAAAGACGACTACCTGAAATCATTGTCGACAAACACCCGGATGTAACATATTTCAAAACTGGCGTCACACTTTTGCCTTTTACTCTTTCTCTTTCCCGCACCCCACCGTCAATATGCACGAGATTTGGTGCTTTATGTATATATATATATATATATATATATATGTGTGTGTGTGTGTGTGTAAATTCAGCATCATATATATATATATATATATATATATATATATATATATATATTATAAATTAATTGATTTAAAATATGTTTTCCGCTACACAGATCTAACCATGTTTCAAAAATGGAAGCTAAAAGCTCCGAATTTAATTTTGTAATTAATTTAAATTAAAGACATTAGTTCCATTTCATTCTCAAGCGAATTTTGAAGTAACTTTTAAAATTACTGGGTTTTAAAGACGCAGCTAAAATCATAATTCATGTTTCCAAGGTTACAGATAAATCCACTTCCACTAAACAAGGGGTGTCTGCGTGTTCATTATGTCTGTATTTTGATGTATAAGTTATTAGTTACGTTTTGGTAGGGGGTAGGGATGTATTTTTCAATGAAATCTAACATCCGTTAAATGCATGTCGTCTGGATTTTTTTTAATTTTATTGTTAACGGCAAAAATTCTTACGGCATTTTTTCTATTTGTATATTTAAAGATTTTTGGGGGGGTGTTTAGGTTAGAATACGCTTTATTTAACTACAATTTGAAATATTTTCACTTTTGATTTTTAATATACTATATTTCTTTTAAGAACAATTAAATGTATTAGAATCCCTTACAGTATGTAGAATTATTTTCACATCAAGTATAAGTATGTATATGCTCTGTAAATTTACATTGAGCACTATTTTTAAAAATAAAAAATATCTATAAGAACACCGGATTATATATCTTACTGTTCTTTCTTTTTATTTATATATCTTACTTTTTATTTATATATCTTATATATTCTTTTTAATTATATATCTGACTGTTCTTTCTTTATATATATATATATATATATATATATATATATATATATATTCAACATCATCACTTGATAAGATACCAGAGATGTTGAAGCAAAAATTTTTTTTAAATTTTCAGTTATCTGTTTTGGATTAGACTTGTTTTTTATATCCATCGTCTTTGTCAAATTGAACTGAATTGTATTTTAATGAATATTGTCCTGAAGAAGGTTTATTAAACCGAAACGTCAGACGTCGACATTTCATTCATTTTAAACAACATAATTGCATTTAACAATTTTTGTTTGTTTTTTCCAAAATTTTTTCTTTATATATATATATATATATATATATATATATATATATATATATATATATATATATATATATATATATGTATATATACATATTCCGTTACAAGAATAAGCGTACACACATTTCTTTAAGCAGACTTCATTGAAGTCCCCAAGTCTAGTGGTTCTAGTTTAATGTGTAAAGATCATTAGTCATTTTCAAGAACAGGAATTATTATATTTTTTTTTAAGCGTTTCACCCCAAGCAAGGCGAGAAACCACTAGGACGCAAGGGGTTACAGAAAATTTGGAGCAAGATCAGATAGGAGTGATATAGGTAAGGATGAGGAGAAGGATAGTGAATAGATCAAGGCAACTGGAGATGAGGATTGACATTTATATTATGGCTTTCAAAATAACCAATGATTATATATATATATACATCGGCTGTTAAAAGTCAGTTAAAAAATTTTCTGAATGTTCTTATATATTTAGCATTCTGTCGGATTCTAATGAAGCTTACCACACGCATTCAATTACAGTCGAATGTCCTTTCTTTTTAAGCGTTGCTATTTAAAAATATCTTTCTGCTCCCTTTTGTTCATTTTATCTTTAAAGGGAGAAGATAAGACGTATTTGAAGCAAGTCTATTTATATCTTGTATTCGTAAAAGCTTCCTTGTAATGGCAAGAATTATTTATCTATGATTTAAGCAATTTCAAAAAGGTCTTCATTCCACTTATATACTTTTATAGATTTCGTTTGATTCATATTATTTTTATCATTCTTCCTCTTCTTCTTCTTCTTCTTCTTCTTCTTCTTACATTCTTTTTCTTCTGAAGCTTTTATCAGCTTTCTTCTTCTTCTTCTTCTTCTTCATCATCATCTTCTTCTTCTTCCATCCTTTTCCGACCCAAGCGTTTGTCAGCTTTCTTCTTCTTCTTCTTCTTCTTCTTCTTCTTCTTCTTCTTCTTCTTCTTCTTCTTCTTCTTCTTCTATCATTTCCCTTCTCAAACTGTTATCATTTTTTTCTTTTTTTTTCTTCCTGCTTCTTCTTTTCTTTCTTTTCCTTATCAACTGTTATCCTTTTCTTTTTCAAACTGTTATCATTCATCTTCAACTACCATATACTTTTCTCATTCTTTTTCACCCTTTTCTTACTTTTCCTTCTTTCACTTCTTTTTAGTTTAGATCTTTTTATTTCTTTTTTATTTAGCATTTAATCTTCTTCTTCTTCTTCTTCTTCTTTTTCTTCTTCTTCTTCTTCACATATAACCTTAATATTCTTTCCTTTTTCATTCTTGTCTCTGTCTTTTTTATTGTCATTTTTATGCCTTTATTTCTTTTTTTCCCCAATTCTTATTCTTTTGTACATAAAATATAATTTGAGCCTAAAAGATTTTGTTATGTAGCTTAGTGGGAATCATTATACTTTCTTTTTGCCTCCTTAACGTTCCTAAATGCGAAATGCCGCGCCTATAAATTTCAGAAAGAGTTCTTCTCACGCATTCTCACTATTATTATTATTATTATTTGCATCTAAAACTAATATCGATTTCATTGAAATCTTCAAAGAGGAAAAAAAAACTGTTTATCGCTCATTTTATAATGTTTATCAGTCGATTAAAATCGCCGTTACCAAAACAAACAGGGCCTTTTATTAAAGACGGGAAATTCTTCCGCGCCTTTAACTTCCATCTTACAGAATGCATAAATGATCCGGAGTAAATGTTGGACAGTTATTCACTTTAAATAACATTTCATCTAGGATAGCAATGATATTACGACCTGACCATCACTATTCCGTCATTGATGGGATATGTAAAGTGCTGAATAAGTGAGTTTATCGGAATATTGATAGGTTATTTTTCTC